AAATGTGGGAATTTGATTCTATGACCTCAGGGAAGAGTGGACATAAATTAAGTTAAAAACTAATAAATTGAAGAAAAATCAATAGTTTGTGGTTAAATTTAGTTTAGCATACAAATGGAAGAGAAAAAAAAAATGAATACAAGAAAATCCTTATTTGATATCAATTCAATATAAATATAGTTGATTTATAGGTGACATAAGACCATTATTTTTTTAATTTAAAATAAGACCCTTGTTGAAAATTTCTATAAAATTAGACATCCTTCTTAGTTCCTAAATTCACATTTTTTTAATCAATTAATTTTCTCAATTTCGATGGCTATATTTTAATCCCTAAACTTTGTATACAAAATATTTTAATCATTACAATTAATTTTCTCTATTAACTATTTAACATTAATTTGAATGATACAATACGTTAGATTTTTATTAGATATATCTACTTGTAAGGTAGATAAATAAATGATACGAATATGTTAGATTTTTATTAAATAATTTACAAATATGTGTATGGCAATGACTAAAAAAGTATGAATATATAAACTAAAATAGGATATCGAATATAAAAAAAAAATTATGGACAAATCCTACAAAAGAACCAAAATAATTATCCACTCAATTCATAGACAGAACCTCAGAAAATTGAAATTGATGGTTAATCATTCATTTTGGATTTATGACCCAATTTGAAAAAAAAACTAGTTTGTGACCCCTCCATTGAAAACAAGATTTGCATGATCCAAGAGTAAAATGCATAAGTTTTTCCATATTTAATTACAAAAAGGAAAAGTCAAGATGTCATAAATTTTGGACCAGTGTTGCATTAAATGACCGAGATTTAATTGACAACAAACAGGGCGGAGAGGTGAGAGAGGGAAAAAAAATCATAAATCCAAAATGAATGATTGGAGGGGTAATAAATCCCAATTTCCCAATTCTAGCTCAACTCACCAGTCAAACCCATGTAAATTTCACATATTATATCAAAATTCATGGACATCCTTGATCTTTTGGTTCTTAATGTCTAGATTCCCTAAAAACAAACGTCAAAGTAATAGAAGAAACCATATTCCATTACAGCTCAATCCAATCCACCAGTCAAACTCTAATCAATCACATATGACCACAGAAATTTACCTGGCGACAATGACCAGCAGATGAGGATCTTGTCTCTCCATCATTTACCCCGGCTTCGGGTTCTTTACCAACAGCCATAGCACTGAAGACTCTGTGTAATACAAATCATTCTTTAATGCAAGAGATACACGTTAAGATGTACATCAAGAATTCAGACTTCAAAAAGTTACGTTCATGAAAGTCATCAAGAATTCAGACTTCAAAAAGTTGCGTTCATGAAAGTAATTTTGGAGTTCTGACATTAGTGCTGAGTGAAACATTTCAAGACTCTGCCTTACCGACTTCCAAGTTCCAACCAATACAGGTACTCATTCCACCCAGCCCGATCGATCCATTAGAGTTGCAAATGACAAGGTCAGATTGGGAAGAATCCTGTATAAGGAATCTGCTTAACATTTTATGGCAGGGAAAACATCCACAAGGCCAGTTGTATATCAAGAGAAACCTTAGAAGCTACTACCACTACTAAGTACTAACACAAATCTTAATTTGAGTGGACTTACTCTTTGATTCTGAAGGTTGAATCAAGTAAATATTGAAGGTTCAATCATTATTTTAGGATAGAGTCGGATGGCAACATGGCAGGGCCCGTTGCCATCCTCACGTACTAACTATATAGCTACTGATGGGTCCAGCCATTGTGCCCGTCCCAGCTTTCTGAAGTTGAAAATTATTCATCTTCCGCTAGACAACCTTTAACTGGACGGCGACGTGACTTTGGAAAGATTCTTGAAAGTTAGCAACCCCCCAGCCCTCCAAAAAACATTAACATAAAACAAATAAAGATTAACTGTTGAGCAGATTCACAAATTTGGGAGCAACTTGCAGGTGACAACAGACAAACAATCCCAAAAAGTATGAACCTCTACCGGTGTCTCTTATATTCTTTTAAGTAACCTAATTATTTAATAACATTGATTTGGATTCCCTCGAGCGTTTCTATCTATCAAAATAAACACAACTGTGCATAAGTATACCAAAAAACTATAATTCATTAAGCATATAACTAAACTAGAGGAAAAGGGAAAACAAGACCTTGCTTTAATTCTTGGATAACTTTTCAGTCCTCACCCAAGAACAATTCTAAGAAATAATCAGGGAAATGAAGTTTTAGTATAAAAACTATTTCCTCCCAAAACTAGGAAACAGTTTCCAAATTTGCTCGAGTGCTCTACATATATTAATTAACACAAGTATATATGAATAGATGCCAAGCAAGGCTATTTTTTTAAATAAGAAGTGCCAAGCGAGGCAGTTTTACACGAGAGTCGTATAAACTACAAATGTCAAAAAAAAAAAAAAAGATCGATTAAACCATTAAACAAAACTGACCAGGACATTCAAAACTATGAAGACATGGGTTTTGGTCTATGATGTCGTTCCTTCCGATACCGAGATTGATCAGGATCAAATCCACCTTCATCAGAGCCATATACAGCCCATGATGGCGTTGGAGCCATGTAGTCCTTGCTATCAAAAGGTTTTCCAGAGGCCACCTGAAATTGTGAAAAGGATAAAATTAATGGGAGGCGGGTTAAAAATTTCAGGTTTCCTGGGAAATTAGCCGTCACCAATACGAACCAGGTCATGAAACTTCTCATAATCTATCCAAGTGAACCACTGGCCATTGACCCTAAATTTGTCAGTTTTAGCCAAAAGAACACAACATGAATGCACATGCTCACAAGCAACTTCATACTGCCCTTGGCTTTTTGCAGCCAAGGCCTCAGAAAAGGACTTCACATCAGAATGCCAAGGAACATTCTCCATCGTTAACTTTGAAGTATTAGATCTACAAAAGGAATATTAGAGTCGTTAAGCTCCAACAATTTTCAATACAATATCCTCCCGACCTAACCCACAATAAAACAAAATAAATACTCACGATCCACAATATGTGACGCCTTTGATTTCAACAAAATCAGGTCTACCAATGCTGAAGAGATTTGAATATGCATCAATATCTTCAATGTTCCACCCTTTCACCAATGTCAGTCGATAAACTGTTCGCTGTTGCTTGTCATTAAGAGCTTTCAAGGAATCCTGAAACATTATGGAAGCACATAAATCAGTAGTTCACAGAGTATTTACCTCTGGTCCACAGAATTTGCTGCAGCAAGATTCAGTATGAAAATCTGAACTTAAGTTCTAATGTGATGACAATAAACCCGAGTCTTGATTCCCCCAAGTAACAAACATGTAATTCTTATCTATCCTTTTTGGCAATGTACTCTATAAAGTAGAATGTCTTTTGGGATTCTTATCGTAGGTAAGAACGAAGTAGCAAGTCATCAATGTTTTTACATGAAAAAGGAGAAAAGTATAACCACTAAGGATAACAGTAACAAAGCATCAAGGTGTAAAAGACTTTTAGCTGTCAACATGAGAACCAACAATGACGTGATGAAGTTGTGTATTGCGTCATCTTCTTTTTTATCTATGTAAAATATTTAGAAGAGCTATGATGTGAAAGAACAATCTATGAAGATTTTACTTACAAACTTGTTATTAAAAATACTGTATTGAAGAACCAACACTAGGAAGAGGATGTGCTCCTTTATAACAATATAATCACATTCACCAAACACATCACAAGTCACAAATCATCCAAAGTAATCAATTAAACATCAAATGCATTGAACTTCTCTCGCAATCCTTAATTTTAATTACATTATTAAAATAAAAATAATTTATCTTAATTATTGATAGCAAGCCGCAGGATGAAAATTAATAGGAGAACATGCTTTTAGATACAAGCCATTACTCAAGATGAGTAATTGAAGCCAGATGCTAGATGCTGGAGCCTTTTATACGAAAGCTTGGGGCACGATAATATAACTGAATATGTGCACCAGTTAATCAAATTTTTATTGGCAAAAGGAAAATTGCTAAAAATATCTGCTCTCTTCATCATGCAATGTTTACGCTTCATCCAAGAAGGAACGCCTTCAGGTTTTTCTCCCTTGAAACATATTTGTCGTTTAATTTTACTTTGGCAGGTAAATAAGATTGTAAGGCAAATGAATTTGATTATTGAGTACACGGTGTGGGTGAAAAGATTCAGGTAAATGAAGTTTTGAGGCGGGACTAAACAGTTCTGCTCTAATATGTTTATTTATAGGATTTACCCTTGTTTTCCCATTAACTCTGATGAAATCAAGCTCAGGAGACAGGCAAGGAAAGAGGTGAGAGTGGGAAACTTACAATGAATCGCTCCCAGAAGTCCCCAAAAAGTGGCCTATCAATTGCCTTCAGGCTCTCCTTTGTCGCAGCATCTACGCTTACATACAACTGCATGTGTCATAGAACTCAAATAGGTAATCTAGTTATCAAGAGTATGAGCCTGACAATTTGATGTTTTTTAGAAAAGAATTTTTTTTTTGAAGCGTGCAAACCTGGGTGACTGGCTTCAGCGATTTTATTTTATCGGGAAACTGAGCATTTGTTACTAGAAATGTTGAAATCCGCCTTCTGTGCAGTTCATCAACGAGTGTATTGATCTCTGGGTACATAATGGGTTCACCAACAAGTGATAAGGCACAATGTCTTGGAGACAGGCCTTCTGCCAATTTCTCCTGTGTAACACCTGCAGAAAGACATAACTTATCAACAAGATAACAAGCATTCGTGACTCTGTAGCTTCATGACTAAATTCCTGACAACCAACAAATGAAAATATGCTTGTACACATTAAGGCACTCATGTTTGTAAAATTAGTTTTAATTTTTAGCATTATGCATGACCTTTTAAATTTCATATTATCAATACAAGTAGATCTCAACTACTAAAATCAGCTTTATGACTAGTTTAATAATGAAGCAAGTTTTGTACATAACTATTCAAGCGTTGGTCATTGTGTTTCAAAATTAGTTCACATGAAGATCAGCTCATTGATTACATTTTAATGGATTACAGCAAAACAAAAGCAACAATCTTACATTTCGAGCATCTTCACAAACTTCTCATTGTCAATGGGTGGGAGATTCTCGTTGATAACTAAGGTAAAATAAAATGCCGTATTTTACATTCTTTAGCATCCAAATAAGCAAGAATCTCAGACCATGTATCATTTGAAATTCCTTAAAACACCTCTAAGACTTTCTCAGGGAGACTCGTATTAAAAAATGCAGGTTACTTTTGGTTCTCTAACTGTTCTCTACTTTTGGCTCTATTTAGCCACAAAACTTGTGGCAACACATTTCTACAACACAAGAAGTTTTAAGAGAAACAATCAAAAGTAATAATATTGATGATTCACCAAAAAAATTCAGATTATACACTAATCAAATCACGAGAACAATCGAGTCTATCCAAGAAAAGATAGTCTTCAACAAAATTAATCAGCCAGTGCAAGACAGGAGTACTAACCAGGAACCCCTTTCATTTGCTTGATCATTTTTGTGTGTAAATCTATTGCAGAATTCACAATATCCAATGGATCATCCATCTCCCACTGCCAACTCTTTCCAACAGGATTTGTGTGATGCCTCCAGCAGAAAACACATTTGTTGGCACAGGCCAAACTAGGAGTTGCCTCCATGCATCTGTTGCATCTCAAAATTAAAGTTCATATAAACATCAGCACTAATCAATAGAGAGCTTTGGATCTTGTTGAGTGAAAGGAAGTAAATAGACAACTTAAAGAATTCACAATGCAAATGACGGACCAAAAGGATCTAGGAACACACATTTCGTATCATGACTACATAAAAAGAAGGCAGGGAGGAGAGAAAAGAAAACATGTAGCTTTCTGCTAATGTTATGGAAATTTAAGATATGAGTCATGTTGGGGAAACAATAAAGACTTGCAAAGTATAATTAGCTGAGAACTGGATGTTAAATTTGCAAAAGCAAAGAGTATCTGATAAAAATTTCTCAGCCACCAAAGAAAAAAAGGAAACCAGAAGGACTTCCATGGCCCTAGAACTGGGTAGCAACTTCCCGTCATTTGAAAGCCACTTTATATTTATTTTTGCCATTCACATAGCCAGTATTTATTCATACTCTATCATCAAACCTCCTCAAGAAAAGAAATTTCTTTTTACCAAAGCAAAGTGGCATGCCAGCTGAACTGTGGATGGAGGAAGCTCTATGGCATTGCCATTAAATAAAAAAAGATAAAAAAAGTAAAAAGTAATAATAGAAACCAAAAAGGCTAAGGCGATCAGGAGTAACCTTACAAGTTAATGACCATGAAAAAAATAGAATGCAATTTGAGACGTTACCGATGACTTTCTATGCCATAAAATGAATGTTTATAGCAACCCCCTCGTCCTCGAAGCTGAGACTTTGTCCATCTACATATTTTCACGCCGCTATGTGTGCCAATAATTTTATATCCCTGCAGAAATAACGCCATTCAAAGAGTCAATTAAACAACACAAGGCAAAGAGGCAAGGATTCTCTAATTACTCACACGCCAACAAAAACAGTTGCAAGGAAAAATTATCAAGCCAATCCACGTTTGTACCGATACTGATTATCCACTAGCCATTTCAGAAATTGTCACATCACAAAGTCGCTAATATGATTACAGATAATGTTCCGCAAACGCTTTCTTCATCAATTCAGCATGAGAAACAACATGCAGATAAACAGCCAACGAACTTACCTGCTTTTCTAAGCTCGCTCGAATCACCGGGGTCACCATCTCTTTTTTCCCATTCAATTTCCCATTAGTTTCAACTACATTCGTCGACTTTCTCGAAGGAGCCTTTCCCGCAATATCCTCAAGATCAACAATGTCCTCCGCCCCAAGGTCGGCATCTTCTTCATCATCCTCAACACTTTCAGCATCGCTGTCCCCAGCAATCGCAGAATATAAATCCGTACCACTCCCCACCGCATCAACCTTCAAAACCTTCAGCACTTGCTGACTCCAATCATCAAAACACTTATCTATATCACCTCCGTCAACGTCTCCTTCCCCAACCGGCAATATCTCCTTCGCACCCAATGCCCTCATCTGCTTGGAGAAACCCCTCGCAACCGCATTGAACGTATCCCCATACGCCCGACTCCCAACGCCAAACACTCCAAATTTACACTCAGAAAGCAACAAGGAACCGACTCTGAAATCCTCCGCGCTCTCGGAGAGCCAATTCGCGAAGAATTTAGCATGGGGAGGCGGCCCTCCATCTTCCCAGGTAGAAGCAACTAACAAAACTAAACTCTCCTTAAAAAGATCTTCCGGCTCGTAGTCTTCAGGATCAACAAGATCAAACGCCAACTCGTTCGAGTTCAAAACGTTGAGCAGGCGATGAGCTAGGGCCTTTGAGGTGCCAGTTTCGGAGATGAAAAAAAGTTTGGCCCTACGTGAACAGACAGTAGGGTTTAAGGAGAGTTTAAGCTTTCTGAGACGGCGGGACTTGTAGAAGAAATAGAAAGTGGAGGCAGAGAGAAGAGCTAGAAGGGTGAGCCTGGCGGAGAGAGAAGACATGGACATGGCGAGAAGAGAAGAGAAGTTCGTCGTCTGGTTTTCAATCCGCTGTTAGGTTTATGGATCGAGCGTGAAATGAAATTGCTTCATTTTTGTTGGGAGAAGGAATATTGGAAACTCGGGAGGAAGACGATGAAGTTTTCGCCGGAGCCTCCAGGTCCGGGCGGCGGCATGCCCAATTACGAAGTGAAATGGGCCAGAGCCCAAGCCCATTCTATGAATTTGGGCCACTACTCAAGATTTTCTAGGCCCATTTGGTAATTTCTGTTGATGTTCCCCTATTTAATAAAAGAAAAATAGAATTTTATGAACTCGACCCTATTTAAGAATGATAAAATTATATTTTTATTTATATTTTATAATAAATTAGAAACGAAAATAAAAAATAAGAAATTGGAGCCACTTGGTAACGTCCCGTTTCTTCTTTTTGTTTTCTCTTTTTAACAAAATAAAAAATATAACTACATGGCCTCCAACACTTATAAATTAAAGAATTATAAAACAAAATATTTATTTCTGTTGAAACAAATTAAAAACGTGAACCCTAAACAAGAAGTTTGTTTTTATCGTTTCTAAAATTTCTATACAATTTTGTTATTGATTGAGAAACAATTAACTTATCAAAAATTTGAATTTCTTAATAAATTTGAAAATAAAAAATAAAAAATATAAATAATTGTCAAATACTTAAATTTCTAAAAAAAAAATAAAAATAAAAAACAGACAAATGAAACATGGGCCTAAAAATCTACTATCTTGGCCCAACCCATTGCATGAAATAGCAGCCTCCCAGCTCTCTCCATAGACAAAAACATTTCACATTAGAAAAGATCAAGTAATCACATAAAATATAATTGGAAGTTTTCTTTTCAATAAAAACTCGTTTGTCGATTTTATATTGTTTTAAATTTTATGTACTAATATATATATAATTCTTATGTTTTAATTTATTTGTTTATCTTATTATATTTCACGCACAGTATATAGAATTTTCAAGTTTATTTAAGGATAATAATCAGTTTTACTTTTTCACTATTATATATTATTTGATATTTAATTATTTTATGGTAAAAAATATTTGTTTATTTTTTGGTTCATTATCCTTTATCTAACAAATTCTGTGATATTTGTTATTATTTTAATTATTTTTCCTGAAAGAAAATGGTATTTACGGTAAAATTGAAATTTTGAAATATGAGTGATAAAAAAAAATTATTTGAGTAGGAAAAAATGGTTGAGATTGATATTGTGAAAACAAGAAAAGAAAAGAAAGAGATTACTAATTTTATTTGAGTTAAAGACATTTATTAATAATTGGATTCAAACATTCTTTTGTGTTTGAAATCAATAATTGGATTGAGACTTAAACCTAGAGTAAGGATCTATTCATATAAAAAGGAAATATTATAACAGCTATTAAGGTTTGAATACTATTTTTGTCCTTAAACTCTTAACTTTAGTTTTTTTTTTATTATTATATTATTAAAATGTCTGATTTTGTCTCTATATTTTTTATTTTTGTTTATTATAATTTGTATATTCAAAATGTCTAGTTTAATCCCTATATACTTTTAAAAAGCGATCACTTTAGTATTTGTTTTGTAATAGAAAAAAATCAAATAAAAAATCAAACGCATTAACCAAAACGATTAGTTTTCAAAAGTACATCGACCAAAACATACGTGATTATATTGGAACGACTAATTTTGATTTAAGTAAAGTTGATGATAGGAGATTTGTGGACAAAAGTAGTTGTCATTGGGCAAAATAAGAATACAATAATAAAATCTAGGGAAAAATATAAAAATACTTATAAACTATTACAATTGTTTCAATTACATCATGATCAATCAGCTGTCTCTTAAACTTACAAAATTGTTGCAATTAAACACTTACAAATCGAAAAAAAAAAGCACAAACAACCTGATTTATAAGTGTTGTTCTAATCAAACATTCAAACTAAGCTCTTATAATCAAATCCAAATTTTTTACCTCAATTTTTTGTCATCTTAAATCGATACCTAAGTTCAAAATTGATTTAAAAACAAAAACTTTTTAATGGTTAATATTATACTTTTGAAATTTTATAAAATTTATAAAAAAAACAATTCTATACTTCGAGATTTTTTTTTTAATAAATTCGAACACACAACATTTTGATTTGAAGATAGATGTCTTTCTAATAATTTGAGAGTTTGATGGTGGGGTGATTTATGTATTTTAAAATATTTAATTAAGGGTTTAATCGTAAAACTTCAGGGGTTGATTCATTCAATTGAAAATTTAGAGGTTTCGATTGTAATAGTTCATATATTCGAATTGATATTTCTCCTCAAATCTAATAAATGGTATTAGGCTTAAAAATTAATAATATATATTCTTTAGAAAAATTTGTTGCTACATCGTTCAATGAAATAGGAAATTTGCAATGAGGGCAAAAAGTTTATCGATATCTACACGAATGTCAATATTTTTTTTATTTTGCAACTATAGCAAAAAAAATTTGAAGGTTTATTTTTGAAATTTTTATAATTCCAATTTTACCTTTCATCAATACATACATGTTACAGATATATCAGAGATATATTAGAATCAGATAGTTATATCAGAAGTATATATTGATATATCAGCATATAGATATCGTAGTTATATTAGTATAATAGATGAAAGGTAAATCAATAAGGTAGATCAGTACATTGCAGGTATATAGTATATATTGACCTTCGTAGTATATTTGACATTTTATTATTAGTACCTTTATTTTTTTTTTAATTTGCTATATTTATAAAACTTAAACGTGGATAGTAAATGTACCATTGTTCTTCATTTTTTTTTTTTTATAATTGTAAGTGCCCTTTATTAGATTTAATGACATTTAATTAGTTACTTTAAAAATAATTAAAAGCTAATACAATGCAAGAATTCATTTTCAAGGAAGATTCTCCAACCACAGTCCAGATTTTTCCAAATTAGAAAATAGGGTAGGGGGCTAGACTAGAATAAAAAACATCATGGCTCCATTTTCATGTGTAAGCTATAAAGAACTATAAAAGATAATTTGCAATAAATATATATATATATACACACACACATACTATAAACTAACAATAAAATATTCTCTAATAAATTCAAATTTTCTATATCATATTTTACTTGGTAGATGGGGTACTAACCCATTTTGAATGAGTCAAAGTGAGCATAGCTTAACGGTAGTTGACATATATCTTCAACTAAGAGGTTATGAGTTCGATTTTCCACCCTCACATGTTGAATGAAGCAACCACTGTGTAACTATCCTCTAACCCTTGGAAGCATATTGGAAATTTTATATCCTCCTAATAATTACTTGATATAAGTTAGATGTATTTTGTAATTTATCCATTATAAATATGTCTTTTCTTATAATTTCTCGAGTTGAATATTTCTTATTGTCCCAAAAATAGCCTATTTTGTTGGTAATATATGTCCACATGGTCTGAGATTCTCCTCCTTTTGCCTTCTATTATTGCTTACAGAATGCATTCCAACCACAACCATAAAAAAATCTCTCCATGATTCAAAAATATAACTTTTGAAAATTTTAGCATAAAATTAAAAATTACATCTAAAAGTATGTTAGGATGGAATATAGAACAAAATGGAAAGAAAACATGTTTGATACTAATATAAATCAATTTACAAACCATCAAAGTTACAAATTATTACGAGCATTTGACATAATTTGTTAATACGGTATTTAGTTGATCAGTCTTACTTTAGTATTAAAACTTTCACTCTATCAAATAAAACTTACAACTTATAAACAAATGTAATTTTCACCAACATACCAAGCTGAGTATAATTCAACTGGTTAAAACATTTATTTCTAATCAAAAGTACTCCAATTCCCACCTTATATATAGTTTTGGGAAAAGAATACAATCCATATTTTTTTATATAGAATTAGGATAACTAATAAATTTTTATGGATGAATTGTGCTCTTTTTTCAAAATTACTAGAAAAGAAAAAATCCAGGTTGAAAAAGGGCAGAGTACTTTTTTTTATATTATTTTTTTATTTCCACATTTTCAACCTTTAAAACCTTACTCATAAATAAAATATAAAATATTTAGAAAGAAAAACAAGAAAGGATATTTCAAATTGATTAGAGTTGATTTTGGACAATCTTTGAGTCCATATCGATCAATTCAATCAACATCATTCGGTGATATGATGATGTCAGATTTGATTTTGGATTGGAGAGGTCAATTAGGTTTTTGATTTTTTACACAAAAAAGTTTAATGAGCCAAAAATCAAGTTGAAAGCAACCCCTTACACACCTAATCAAGAAATGATGTTCCATAGTAAATGGATTTCCTCTATGCTTGTACAAACTTTGTCAGTTGGCCAACTTCTGCAATTTGGAAGAGAAGTAGAGAAAGAAGATGTTCATGAAACAAATGTAGAGAGAATGTTTGAAACAAACATAAACATTTGCAGGCAAAAGTTAGAAATCAATTCAATGGTTTAGAGGTAAATCAAAATTTACCAGAGATACAAATTGTACTGCAGAAGAACGAACTCCTTTGAATGGAGCTAAAAGCCTAAAACAAGTTTTCATCATAAAGAAGATAGATTTTAACAATAAGAGAAGGTTTTGTCTGACCCCATGGAGAAATTTCACATGGCAGTGACTGACTCTCCTCTATAACTTTGACATAGACTCATCGGACAATGCAACTCGGGCAATCTCGACATGGTGACTTGATGCAAACTGAAAACTTGAGAAGAAAACTCATAACTCGATCAATTTTCCTAGATGCAAACTATAAGCAAATAAATGACAACCATCAGGAGCAGAGGGCAAGACAAGAACAGTCAGGTAGGCGAAAGTCACGAAGCAAAAACCCGAATGAATGTTCCAAGCAATGTTACAGATCTAAGCAGGTAACTTAACAGGATAATTGTCGACGCAGTCCTCCCATGGACTAGATTGAGATGGCCTCACATTCCTGAGTGCTTCCCACACTGCACTGTTACACTTGAAACCACTGCCAAATGCAATCTGCCACACACGGTTGCCTTTGTGCATCCTCCCTTTGGCCTCTATGTAGGCCAATTCATACCAAATGGAGCTTGATGAAGTATTTCCAAAGCGGTGAAGCGTCATCCGAGAAGCCTCGACATGAATAGGCAAGAGCTGCAAATTCTTTTCCAATTCATCAATCACAGCCCTTCCTCCGGCATGTATGCAGAAGTGATCAAACGCAAGCTTGAAATCAGGGATATACGGCTTCATACTTCCATTTAAGAACTTCTTTACCAGTAGGGTGGCAAAGAACAATAGCTGCTCGCTAATTGGGAGTACGAGCGGACCCAATGTAGTTATGTTGGTTTTCAGAGCACCTCCAGCAATTGCCATTAAATCTTTGGACAGTGAGACTCCGGTCTTGCCCACATCGTCCTGCTCCTGGTAGACACATCGAAAAGCCTTATCATCGGCTCCACGATGGGTTCTCACAACATGAATAAGCCTATACTTAGCTCGCCTTCTATCCACAGACTTATTGGACAGTAGAACCGCAGAACCACCAACACGAAACAGACAATTAGGGATCAACATAGACTTCTTATTCCCAAAATACCAATTCTGAGTAATGTTTTCAGTACTCACAACAACAGCTACAGTATTCCTATGAACTTGCAAAAGGTCCTTAGCAAGATCAACTGCAATAACTCCAGCACTACAACCCATTCCACCTAAATTAAAGCTCCTTATATTTCCCCTCAATTTATACTTGTTAACAATCATAGCAGAAAGTGAAGGGGTTGGATTAAACAGGCTGCAATTTACAACGAGAATGCCAATATCCTTAGGTTTGACATTCGTATTAGCAAACAATTTATCCAAAGCACCAAACATGACCTGTTCGGCCTCCTCTCTGGCCGCGGCCATGGAGGGCCTGGGAGGAATATAATGCATAGCTTCGGGGACATAAGTCTCTTCACCAAGTCCGGAGCGCTCTAAAATCTTGCGCTGGAACTCGAGAGACGACTCATCGAAGTCCCCTTTAAGCCTGGAATGATCCATGAAGCGATGAAATGGAGCCTTAAGCTCGTCTGCAGGGCGATAACAGGAATAATCAACAAGATAAACCGGACGAGGACGAGTCATGGTATAAACCGTCAATCCGAAAACCATGACGGCGGAGCAAATAATGACGCTAACCAAATTGTACTGGAGATGAAACCAAAGCTGACGAACATCATCGAGATTCATTTGGGAAACCTCGATTAGGGTAACGGCGATTAAAGGAACAATACATAAGGTTAAGAGATTGGAAATCAAGTAGTGGTACCCTAGTTTGACGTACTTGAGATTCACGCTCTGGAGGAAATCGGGCAATCTTCTCGATTGATGGATCCGAACGGCACCATTTCCGGAGCCACTGTTGACGGTGGGAACAGGGGTTGGGCCGCCTCGGTCCATGGCGGGGGCCGTAGAGTTTTCCGATCACCGGAATCACAGGAAAGCAAAATCTGTAAAAATGACAACGAAGAAAAGGAAGAATCCGATGCGAGTGTTTTGGAATTTGAAGGGAGCGGAGACAGAGAGAGAGAGTGGAATTTTTTGAGCAGTGGTGGCTTTTTTCTTCTCTTTATTTTTACGTTTATAATTTCTAAAATAAGTTATTTTTATTTTAATATTTGTAATTTCCACGTATTGAAAATCGAGTAGCAACGCACGTGGCCATGCCGGTGATTTGACCCGGATTTCTACCTTCTACAGCGGCAAAATTTCTGGTACTACGCGAATTTTTCCCATTTACAGCCAACACAAAATTCACTTTTATGTATAATTTCTTCTCTTTCTCCTTTTTCATTTTTCACTTGGATCATTTTTAAGGATTTTTTTACTAAAAATAAAAATATTTTTAAATATGTTATTAATAATAGATATGTAATGCCAACGTGAACTTAATTTAACTATATTTAACATATTGTCCATGATCAAGAGATTATGAGTTCAAATATCTTATCTTACTTATCCTATTAATGAGATAATAAATATGTAATGACATTTTAGTATTTACCATCGGAACTAAATGAAAGTAGAGTTCAAAATTTGGAGGTTAAATTTGTAATTTAGTATATTCTCAATTTAAATGTGTAAATTATATTACATTTTTTAGCATTAGAAATATATGGTTGGCCTTCCAATCTCAACCATACATCTTAGCTAGTGATCAGGGGCAAAGTAGCTGGGCAAGATTCTTCTCCCAAATTTTCATACTATATATATATATACTTTTTTGGTTCGCACAGGACTAAATATATATTTTAGTTCTTAATATTTAAATATTAATTTTTTTAATTAATTTCATAGAGTTCCTAATAAAAAAGATGACAGTATATGAAATTTTAAACTTTTGTAATTTTACGAGGTTGTCAATGGTTAAACATTACAATAGGTTAATTTTCTATAATAACGAATGATTTTACCCCTAATTTATTTTAAATTTTTTTTAGTACAACAACGTATGAGGGAGGTAATTAGTGTTAATTATGAATAAATCACCGTTCAATCAAAAAATTAAGCTAATGGGTTGAGTAAATTTAATTCATTTATATGAATTYTCAGCATATTCTTGTGAGAGATATATGTCTTAATCAGTTAAGTTCTAATTAAATCATATGAAATGAGTGAAAGTTCTATTTTAGAGTAATGATATGTCTATATCATCAAATTAAAATTTGGTGTCCAAATGGTCATTCCAACGTAGTACTATTCTTCTTAATTCCGGAATTTTATGAGATTTGGTGTATTAGTGCCAGTAGCATCGCGCCCTATACGTTGGCTATATATTTGTATATCTTGTAACTTTTTTTTTTTTTTTAATTTGAGAATGGTTTTGTTTATAATCGTATAGTTTAAATTGGGTTATTCTTGGAGCTGCATATAATCTCTAATTACTCTAGAAGAACCTAAAAATTGACCTTAATTTGTCTTGATTTCAATTGAAAAAGACAATGATTCCGTATTGTTTTCTGGTTGTGTTTTATAATGGTCAAAATTAAGTGAAAAACAATGCCCCTTTTAGAAGGTCTTGTTCATGGACCATATGAAGGCCATACCTTTCTTGACACTTTCTCCTTATTAGTTGCATAAGGTTTAGCAAAATTGTAACGTAAAGTTTCTATATATAATTTTTATTTTGATTTTTTAAAAATAACCATTTTAGTTATTACTATTATTATGTCCCTTAATATCTATCTACCAAATATTTGTTTTGCTAACTTATCTGGCGGCCTCTAATTAATAACTCGTAATACACCCTATTCAAAATCATAGGTTATCTATTTGTTGAACCATTAATGACAACAAATCATGAGACCAATAATTTTTTTTAGTCGATTAGAATAAACATTTTGAAAATTCATGAACTAAAAAAAAAGTGGATTTAAAAGTCCAGAGAATAAAGTAAATATTTTGAAAATGAATGAAACATTTATTTTTTAATTTTAAGTTTAAGTTTATATTATTTTGATCCTTACCTAAAAATTCATTTTGAATCAAACACGGGTGGTACATTCTTTTAGGAAAAGAGGATAAAGAGAATCAAAATATGACAAATGAAAAAGCAATGCAATAAATATTTTAAAAATCTTTCGTTGTATCGTAAAAACTTTATAATAAAAAAAATAGAAAATTGGTTGCGGAGATTTTTGGAGTCAGTTTCAACAGTCTCTGCTAGTTGAACCTCATCTGTAGCGACCATCTGGTTCATTGTTACTACCAAAAAGAGGGTCTACCATTATTTTAATATCAACTTAATTAAGTGACTTGTAACGTTAACAATATCTTAAATTTATAATTTCTTTAAAAGAAAATTTTCAATTGTTTATAAAAAAAAATCGCGTGCAAGAAAAAAATATATAAAAAGAAAAGAAAATAATGTGGTTATCCAAATCACTCTAGTGAACGAACAAAAAGATAGGAGAATGCAAGGAGAACATGTTGAGAGAAAAAAAGATGTTTTGACTCTCAAGTTAGCTAGAATTCGAGCTATTAGTTCAAGGATGGGCAATTAAGTTCGCATACTTGCTTTTAGAGTTTTTCTCGGTATTTATAAGCATAGATAGGTGGGTCAACTTACCGCCTAATTTCCACGACTGCAAAATTATTAGTACAGGATCTACAGTTATAAATGGTTTTAGTATATCTTGATTAAGTTTTATTAAAGTCTGGACTATCGGTTCTAGAGTGTTATTTACCGGTTCCTAAAAGATATAAGGAGTTATACCTCGATTCTTAATAACCTCTCTTCTTCTTACGTTGTCTAACAAAATATTCTCAATGATTTTTTTAAATAGTAAAGTTTTGAAAACAACTTCAAACAACCATACCTTATCATCCATGTATTGAAATTTTCAAATTCATACAACAAATATGAATCTTACCAAAAGTTAGGAAACAATTTTCCACCAATACCTACATCGAATTATTTATACGGTCAAATTGGTGACCTTTTATTTTATTTTATTTTTCCTTTTTCATAATTGAGACCTCAAAACAAAAACAACCCAACTTAAATGGGATAATAGACAAATTGACTTTTCTCATTCTTGAATCTTTCCCATTCAATTATTACACAATTATTTATGAGATTCGTTTTGAGCTTTTAAAGTTGAATGGATCCTTTGTTTTTTATAGTCCTACGAGCGACCAATACAATTTTGATTATCTCTATTCTCGAAATGTTTATCTCAGACTTTGTATTTGTAACTTTAGTTATTGTGCTTTGAAATACGTTCGTTTTAGTTATTGTACTTTTTAATCTAACGTTTTAGAAATAAAAAATAAAAAGACTAAAATGAACGAAAGTTGAAAATATAGAAATTAAAATGAATATTTTGAAAATAAAAATTATCGAAATGAAAAAAATGGATAGTACATAGAATAACAGGGTATTTTAACCAAATATTTATAGGTTTTAAATCTCAAAAACTGATTTTTTTTCCTTCTTTTTCAAAGGAATATCAATAATAGGATTATTGAAGATAGATTAAAGAGAAGGCGAAATTATGAAAAATACTGTTCGTCTATGTGGGTGACTTTCAATTTTATTCTTAATATTCTAGAAATTTCAATTTTACCTTAATCTTTCCATTTAATAAAAGAAAACAAAAAACTTCATAAGAAAAATTCCATTATAATTGAAAATTTTAGAATATTAGGGGCAGAAATTAAAGCCAAATAATTAGATGGGAGACAACATTGAAACCAAATAAATTGAACAAAATTGCTCTCAACATTGTTGGTTTCAATTTTACTTCTAATATATTAAAACTTCAATTTAAAAAATAATTAGCTCCTTAATAGTGATGAGCAAATCTTTTCTTCACCACCGTTAAAAAATTGATAATTCATTCATTTTTATAAAAAACAACAAATTATGGGCCCGTTTGATAATGTTCCCGTTTCTTGTTTCTGTTTCTTCCTTTTTAATAAAGAAAAATAGAATTGAATGTCCCAACACCCATAAATCCAAAGATGATCAAACATCATTTATATGTATATGTTTTATAACAAATTATAAACGAAAACAAGAAACATGTTTTGATTGTTCCCAAAATTTCTATATAATTTTGAGAATGTTTTCAAAAAATGAAAAACAAGAAACATAATTAGTTGCAAAATGTTTAACTTTCTTAATAACATTTGGAAACGAGAAACAAAAAAGGGGACGTTACCAAACGGGTCTTATATTTCTTGTTTCTTATTTTTTGGCAACACTCTCAAAATTGTATAGAAATTTGGGAAACAACAAAAACAAGTTTATTCTTTCTTGTTTACATTTCCAAATTTTTTTCAAAACATAAATAAAAATATTTTTTTATTATACTTGAATTCATGGATGTTGAGATCATGCAATTCATTTTTCGTTATTAAAAATTAAGAAATAGATACAAGAAACAAAATCGTTATCAAACGAGTCTTAAGGAACCAAATATTTTGCCTTTTAAAATGTCTATTTTGATTTTTCTACCTTTTAAAAGTGACCATTTTTGTCTATTCATTTTCATTTTTATTTCAATTTTTCGATCATAATTTTAGTATGACACTGTACTCACATAATTTCTTACAAAGTACCCATAAAATTGTATTAAAAGATTTCTATCGTGTATAAATTTTATGTTAAAATTGTGTACATACAGATTAAAATGATTCTCCATCCCACATATTGTACTAAAAAAATGACCACTTTTTTAAAGTACAATTATCAAAATGACCATTTAAAAAATATATAAACTAAAATAAATAATAATTGAAAGTAGAAAGAGAATAAACATTATGAAATTACGATAACCTAGTAAAACAAAGTCAGAAAATATATGGACGAAACCAATATTTAAACCTAACATTTTTCTAACCTAAATGTCATACAAAAGGTTTTGCTGAACAAATTAAAGGTTTAATAAATAAAATTGAAAACTTCTAAAATGCTACACGCACGTTTCGCATTTTATATAATTTAACCTAAAAAGAAATACTAAAAGAAACGAGAGATACCTGTCTAAAAANAAAGAAAAGAAAAGAAAGGAGTGATAAAGACAATTTGTAATATTATTATTATTTTGT